TTTTTTGATTTGTTTTACATTTCTAAATTTATTAAGAAACTCATCAGTTGTAACTATTTAATGCTTTAATGGTATAATGGGTCGACACATATTTAAAGGAGAATTCAAAAAACATTTAATTAGTAATTTTACATTGCCATCTAACACAAATATTGGGTGCATGAATGGACACGTTCTGTTTCTTTATACTAGCAATGGTGAGTTGTTTAGCAAAACAGTTGCAAAAGTCAATGAGCATTTTAACTTGAATATTTGCTCCAGTCATATCAAAAAAGTAGTGTACATAGCCAAAAACTGGTCTAAAAATTTTTTAAGAAAATATGAAAGTTGTGTTGCATTTTGTAATGAGCCCTTTATAAACCGTGAACCACTGATTACAATTTTATCGCAGCCTATCTTAAGTAACACTAATTACACAATATCACATTCTTCTGTTTTATCATTGTCAGAACACAGCAGTGTCACATCTCTGATACGTAATGAACCTTGATGTTCTGCTGGACATGAAGCAAATTTAACTACTAGACAGACTTCAATAGAAAAATTGAGCCCTAGGAAGAAAAAATTAACTAACCGGTTGTCTCATTTGTCTTCTAGATTAGCAATTTCTTCAATAGAAAATCGTAAGAAGATAGCTTCAATGAAAGCAAAATTATCCAGCCTGCCATATAAATTAAAAGTTCTAAGGCAAAGTGTTAAAAGAAAAGAAGATATTATAAAAGCCTTAAGAGCTCAGGTTAGAGACTTAAAACATAAAAACCAAACATATTATTACAGCAGGCAAATTCGCAATCTTATTGCATCAAAAAAAGCAATAAAAATTAAAGAGAGAGAAAAGTTTAGAAAGTTAGCTCTCAAACATAATGCTGCGATTAGAAAAAATAATACGGATATTACTAGCTTAGAAGATAGTTTGACCCAAATGGAGGAGGACAAGATAAGTATTACAAATACAACTGATTGTAAAAGCTATCCATTAAAAATGAGAATGATAATATACTGCATGTTATTGTGTAATGTCCCAACAAGTAACATTCCATTTCTAGTAAGCAAAATTGGGCAATATTTCAGTGTTATTTTTTCTCACATTCCTTGTTGTAGCACTATTGAGCAAATGGCTCGTGAGCTTGGCAGTATTGCTGATCTGCAGGCAGCTGAATGGATCATTAGTAATACTCATCTTACTCTTGGGTTTGACGCAACTACACAAGAAGGTGTTCATATCAACAGTATTCACTTAACTTCAAATGATAAATGCCAGGTAATTGCTGTTGATCAATTACCAGGTGGGACAGCTGTGGATTATGCGAACCATATATGTAACGAAGTGGATCATACAGCTTTAGTATATTCAAACTTTCACTTGAAACCCTTTGAAGAATGTCGTCGTATGGTCATATCAAATATTTCAAACACAATGTCGGACAGAGTATCTGTTAACCATCTTACAATAAGAAAAATTGGTGAAACTTGGGGTAAAAGTCTCAATGAATTAAACTGTCATTTGCACCCTCTTGACACAATTGCCACATCGTGTCGTTCAGCATTAAAGTCTCTAGAGCTTGATAGCTGCGAATTATATGGAAATGATTGTATAGCTGCAAAAATTGTTTTGGCTATGAATAAGATGAGGTTCAAAGATGGTAAAGGTGACCCAAAGGGATTTGTTAATTTTTTAGACAATAATAAACTACCACGAGGTATCATTCCAAGGTATCGTGGAAATCGCCTTCACATTCTGTTCCACACTTGTTTTATTTTTATAAAACATTATAACAAATTTTTACATTTTTTAACTATAGGAACAGTAAAAATAAAAACTTTACAAAGGGTTCTGCGAGTAGCATTTTGTAATACAACTGCTATAAAGCAAATGTGTCTACTTGCTTTATTTGGAAAACTTCTTACAGGGCCGTGGATGACAATGTTTTATGTGTCATCTGAGAAAGCATATTTTGATCATGTTGGTGGTATCCAGATTGTTAAAAATGTTGTGCAAACAATTAAAGACTGCAAATGCGATCCAGCTGCAATATTTTGCAGAACAACAGATTTTTTTGGAAATGCTCTCAAAGCAAATGTGTTAGAACCATTAACAAAAATATGTAGAATTGATGACGAGCTCATTGCCATGATCTTGGCTTGCCTCAATGCAATAGAAGTGGTTTTAAATCGACAGTATAAGCGCTATTTTTCCATTACCATTACAGAAGCACTTGAAAAAGAAACAGCTAGTGCAAGGCTTTATAACATAGATAGTGAAGAGTTAATGGGAATGTTCAGTGCTGCAAAAGGAAGATCTCCTAATGCATCTATTGATTATATATCTTGCAAATTACGAACCAAAAAGAATGGGACAATGGATTATCTGGATAATCTTGATGACTTTTCTAGAAAAATGGTAGTTCAGTGGTCTATTCAGGCAGCACGTAAAAAACGAATAAAAACTCGACTACAACATACTGAAATTAGAGCTGAGATTTCTAAAAGACAGACTATAAAACGCCAAAAAATTGATGAAAAAGAAAAAAGAAAGTTAGAGCAACAATTAACATTATTAACTATTAGTGAAATTCTGAATTTGTTTAAAAACTTATCTACCAAGCAAATTGATGATTTAAATGATGTTATGTGTGAAAGAATTGTTGGGAGAAATCTTTGCCATGAATGGTATGATTCCGATACAGCAATGACAGTCTTGTATAATGGCAGAGTAGAAAAACTTAAAAAAGCTCAGAAAGATATTATATACACTATTTCTTATTGGACTAGAGAAGAAAATGATACTGAAGCAGTTGATTATTATATGAAAAAATTCCAGCTAGTTGCTGACATTGTATCCGGTGAGTTGATGTTTTCCTAATGTAAATATGTTGCATTTATTTTTTTTATAATTAAAAATGCATTTTATTATCTTACTACTTAATTTTACTATTTTTTGACTTTCTATCTCTCTCTCTATATATATATATATATATATATTTATATATATAGAGAGAGATAGAAAGTCAAAAAATAGTAAAATAAAGTAGTAAGATATATATATATATATTTATATATATATATATATATATTTATATATATATATATCAATAATATGCAAATCTATATATATCAATAATATGCAAATGTACAGCGAGAAGTGGTACTTGCAAAAAAAAAATATAGCAAGTAGTGGAACTTGCAAAAAAATATATAGCGAGTAGTGGAACTTTCAAAAAAAAAATATAGCAAGTAGTGGAACTTGCAAAAAAAAAAAATATAGTAAGTAGTGGAACTTGCAAAAAAAAAAATATAGCAAGTAGTGGAACTTGCAAAAAAATATATAGCAAGTAGTGGAACTTGCAAAAAAAAATATAGCGAGTAGTGGAACTTGCAAAAAAAAAAATATAGTAAGTAGTGGAACTTGCAAAAAAAAATTAAGCAAGTAGTGGAACTTGCAAAAAATTATATAGCGAGTAGTGGAACTTGCAAAAAAAAAAAAAAAAATAGCGAGTAGTGGAACTTGCAAAATAATATATAGCAAGTAGTGGAACTTGCAAAAAAAAAAGTATAGCAAGTAGTGGAACTTTGCATAAAATATATATAGCGAGTAGTGGAACTTGCAATTTTTTTTGATAGACGGCTCTGGCTTACGTTCACGTCGTGTCTATTGTTAACAATGATTAATATATAGTTTCATTAATGGAATTTAATATCTTAATCATTAACTAAAAGCCAAGACGCAAACTAATTAGAATAATATTATAAAACATTTTTTGTTTTTGAAATTCTTTTTTAGGTCAGAGGGGAAACCATCTATAACTATCACAAAGCATTGTGTGATGTATTTTGAGTTTTGGTAAAAGATGTTTTTAAATTAAAGTGTTTATTTTCATTGCATTTAAATATTTTTTCGAATCTCATTAAAAATAGCTTCTTTTTTTTAGGTTGTCAAAAAAAAAGGAAGAGGGGGGGGCAACGACACGCCCCCTCGCCCATCTACACCCTTGAAACAAAGGGTGCGCTGCTAGTGATTTTGTATAGTAGTAAAATATAATTTTTGATTTGAATACTAGATTTCTTTTTAATTATAAAGATAAATATTTATATAGAGTCATTTTTGATAATAGGGTGTATTAAACTATCACCCTTACATCCACCCAAAGGCAATGATGAGTCTTCTATATTTGATTGTGATCTGATAGCTAATTACAAAAACATCTTGCATATAAAAATTTACATTTTCATTAAAAGAAAACACTTTTTTATAAATATAGTAAGTCTTTATTGCCGGTAAGGATGGTGGTTTTGTGCCCCCTCTTACCCCCGGATGCGCCCGTTATCTAGAAACTTTTATAAATTTGTAGATGACTCTTGTATCTATCTTTTGATACCAAGATATAAACATTTGGATAAGAATTGGTTAAGTTATAATAATTTTAGTTAATAAAAACTTTATTTTGACCACAGTTTCTTCAACAAATCCTAATATCAAAAAATCGGTACTTAAAACGTCATAACTTTTTGTAGGGTGGTTCAATTTTGAAAATTTTTTCACTTTTATAATATTGACATTAAGCTCTTTTTAATGATATATAACAACCTATAATTTGATGAATTTAAAATTTTCATGTGACATACCTACCATAACTGGTGGGGATATTTGACTTTCAAACTTAGGTAGAAAAGAAATGAAAATGGTTTAGTAAAAAGATTATATAATATAATATATATATATATATATATATATATATATATATATATATATATATATATATATATATATATATATATATATATATATATATATATATATATATATACATATATATAATTAAGCCTACGGCTAGTTATAATTGTATTAAAACTATTTTTAACAAACATTGGATGTTTATCCCCACCAGTTATGGAGAGGATGATCCTCTCCATAACTGGTGGGGATATTTGACTTTCAAACTTAGGTAGAAAAGAAATGAAAATGGTTTAGTAAAAAGATTATATAATATAAAATAACTTACTTTATATCGAATATTCAATTTAAACCGCCTTTAAATTTTTAGAAGTCTATTTATGGATACTTTGAAGTACAATGATAAACAATAAAGATTCTACTACCACGATTTAAAATTTAATAATGAGGAACATTTATGATCGAGTTGTTCAAATAATTTTTAGAATGACATCATATTATTACCATATTTGGATGATCTGATCTCGGAACATGAACTGTATGGCGCTTTACTAATATTTCATATACAACTCCTAAAATCCGGCTAACGATAAACATTTTATCGGACCTAATGCAAGTTAAATTTTTCGTCCAATCAAAACAGGGATCTGATCTCAGGAAATAGCCGCTCGTGTCAATATTTGCAGTTGCCATTTTGAAAACAACAAAACTGATAAAATTATTCCGAACAACTTTGTAATTGTGATATGATTGGTTGATTGGAGATAGAACAAGATAATATTTTCAAGTTTGCTCATTAAGGAGATAGAATAATGCAATATTGCATGCAATACCGTGTTAAAAGTTTCATTTTTTTTCAATATAATTAAAGTAGAACAACACAATGCTAAAATATTCGAAAATAATAAAATCTTAATTTTTTCAAAAATTGGAGATAGCACAAGATAATTCTAACGTCGCGATATATCTATTACTGTTTTTTGAAAAAGATACTTAGGTAATATTAGTTCTTCTTATCGTTCTTTCTGGTTTAAAGATACAATCTTGTTACATCTACAACATTGAACTCTGTAGTTTTGTATTTAAGCACTCATTCCTAAGTTGCAATAGATCTTGATATGTAGATTCGATTGATGATTCTATAATAATTCTACCCATTTTAATAGGGCCATTAAAATTATTAAACAGAAAATAGACGATTCCTAACAAATCACGTATATATATATATATATATATATATATATATATATATATATATATATATATATATATATATATATATATATATATATATATATATATATATATATATACATATATATATATATATATATATATATATATATATATATATATATATATATATATATATATATATATATATATATATATATATATATATATATATATATATATATATATATATATATATATATATATATATATATATATATATATATATATATATATATATATATATATATATATATATATATATATATATATATATATATATATATATATGTATGTATATATACAGTGCCGTGGCAAGTAGGTCTGAGCTCCCCCCCCCCCCTTAAAAAAAAAAAAAAAAAAAACTAGCAACTTGGGCCCTAATTTTTTATTTATTCTTACTTAAAAAATGGATAAAGTTTACAGACTACCCCTGGCATATAAGAAAAATTAATTAATTTACAATTAGATCGTTAAGAAAAATTTGCAATTAGATTGTTAAAAACGTTACTCAATAAGAAAGAAATAAAAGATAAAACAAGACTTTTTTGTAAATTTAAAAGAACACGGAGACTCGCAGAAGACCATTAGGTCTTGTCACCAAGAACCGCTCGTAAATTAAAACTTCATAAAATTCAATATATATATAAAAACAAGTGCATATATAGTTAATCACATTTAAGTGCATGTTCTTATAAATATTCAACTGAATAAACTAAAATAATACATCAAATTAATAACGTTTAAAAATATGACAATATATCATCATGAGACAAAATGATTTTTTTAAGCTTATTTCTGAATGAAAAATAACTCCATTGCAGAGAAAAATTAAAATGTTTTGAAACTATTTTGTTCCAAAGAAAAGCTCCTCGAAAAGAAATACTAGATTTTCTAAAATTAGTCTGAAAAAATGGTTGACGAATTAAGTTATCATTTCTTAAATTATATTTATTTTTATATTTTAGCGTGAATAAATTATGAAAAGAAACTAGAGAAGAGTTAGTTTTACATTTATACATAAAACAAGGAATCTTAAAAACATTCAGCTGATATATATTAAGAACTTTCATTTCAAATAAGAGTCTTGGCATGAGTAAATCTGTTTTTAAAATTAATAAGACGAGCAACATGCTTCTGTTGACGATAAAGAGGCTCCAGTTTACATTAATTGGCATTTCACCAAGCAATATTTGCATAGTTTAAATGACAATGGATAAAAGAGAAGTATAATTGAATTAGACTACGTTTATTTAACACACCTCTAGCATTATACATTATTTCTATACTTTTAGCAATTTTATTACACAAGAATTCAATGTGGTGTTTTCAACTTGGTTTTCATCAACATAGATACCCAAAAAATTAGCACTAATTACTCTTTTTATTTGGATTTCATCAATAAAAAGTAAAGGTAGTTCACAAGGAAGTAGTTTTTTTTTTAGACGCTGGATGAAAAAGTGTCCATTTTTTTTTTCAACATATAGTGAAAGTTTATTCATTTTAAACCAATCAGATATTTTTGTTAATTCCATGTTCATATCTCGAAATAATGTAGTTATGCTATTACAGACAAAAAGAGGTTAGTGTCATCGGCAAACATGACTGACATCAAATTAGAAGCTTTATGAAAATCATTAATATAAATAAGAAAGAGAAGGGGTCCTAATATCGAGCCCTGTGGAACCCCACAGGTTATGTTTAATAAATTAGATGGGTTAACTTCATTACTATAAACAAACTGTTTGCGGTTACTTAAGTAACTTTGAAGTAACTTTAAAACATTTCCTTTAATTCCAAAATATTTAATTTTTTTAAAGGAGAATTTGGTGATCGATTGTATCAAAAGCTTTTGATAAATCTATGAAAACTCCCAACGTATATTGGGAATTTTCAAACGATTCAGAAATACTACGAGTTATATGAAGTATCGCATGTTCTGTTGATGTATTTTTTTTGAACCCGTATTGATTAGTATAAAGTATATTATTTAAAGAAAGATGATAATAAATTAAGTTATATAGGATTCTCTCTAATACTTTAGAAAAAACAGGTAAAACAGAGATTGGGCGATAATTTGTAAGATTTGTAGTATCACCTTCTTTGAAAATTGGTGTGAGTTTGGCTATTTTAAGATGGTCTGGAAATATTCCTTGTTTTATTGAATAGTGAAAAACTTTAAATAGTACATCTTTCAAATGTTCATACGAGTCAATTACTAAATATATCGTCGTGACCGACAGATTTATTAGACTTGAGCATTTTAAAAGATTGTTCAAATTCTTCAAAAGATAATTTAGAGGAAGTTAGAGACGAAGTTAACGGAAAATCGAAGTTACCTATTTTATTTATCACAAAAGGAATTTTTATTGGAAGATTTGGGCCAAATGACAGTTTATTTAATTCAGCACATATCATTGTTGGATTGGACAAAAATTCATCATTAATTTTTAAGATTACAGGCAGTGCGCATGTTTTTGTTTTTTGCATGCCAATAACTTCTCTTAAAATTTTCCAGGTGCGTTAAAAGTTATGTTTGTTCATTTCAAGTAGATTGGAGTAGTACAGTTTTTTTAAATTCTTTCTTTGTGTTTCAAACTTTCTTGTGTTTTTGTTTTCAAGTATTTAATATTTAATTTTTGCTTAATTTTAGAAGATTTTCTGAGATCTTTTGTGATCCACGGTGACATTAAACCTCTATTTTTTTAAATTACAGTACATTTTGGAAAATTTACGTCGTATATTTCATAAAAAGTTTTGAAGAATGTTTCATAAGCTACATTAGCGTCGGCAGAAGCATTTACGTTTTTCCAATGCAGTAGGAATAACTGTTCTTTAAATGAATTTAAGTTCGCTGAAGTAAAAAAGCGTTTTGTAAACGTTACATTCTGTTGGGGTATTTTTGCTGTGGCAAGAAAAAAATTGGGAAGTGATCAGAGATGTCACATTTAATAATACCTTTTTAAGGAGATTTATTAAAAATATCAGTTGAAATGATATTGTCTATTAAGGTAACTGATGTCTCAGTTATTCTAGTTGGTTTATTAATTAACGGAAACGCTACATGACCAAATAAATCATTATAAAAATTTTTAATCTCACAATTGGTTTGGTATTGGAAACAATCCAAATTAATGTCACCTATTAGGTAATATAATTTCTGTTCTTGAGTGCTAATTCTTAAAATATCATTTAAAAATAAACTGAACTGTCTAATTTGGCCACAAGGTGGGCGATAGCAACAACTTATAATTAAATTTTTTTTTTGTTTGTTTTAATTTCAGCTGTTAAAACCTCTTTATCGTCATCAGAATTACTCATGTCAGGCCTAATTAAATAGCTCAAACATTCTTTAATATAAATTACTACACCACCGCCTCGCTTATTATTATGACGCTCTAAATGAATTATTTTGAAACCTGGTAAACACTAATTTGAATTAGAATTTAAGACTTCCGAGCTACACCAGGTTTCAGACATGCAAATTAAACTAAAAGTACTAAGGGATTTTTTTATATTTGTACAAAAGTTTTCAAAATTTTTTGTTAAGCTTCTTATATTAACATGCAAAATATTAAAATTATTTGAAATAAGAAATTCTTCAATCTCATTATAATAATAATACAAGCAGTTGCTTTTTATTCCACATGCTTCGAGAAAATAATTAAATCGGACCGGGTCCGATTTGAAGTTGTCTAACAAACCATCAGTTTGAAAAAAATCAAAAGAGTTTAAACCCAAATTTTTTGAGTTATTCGAATCCATTTTTATTTTTATTGTTGCTATTATTTGATAAATAAAAGAATTTCTTTCCCGTGTTACTAGTTTATTATAAACAACTTTCGTCCCGTGTTACTAGTTTATTATAAACAACTTTCGCATACTTACCTTTTTGTCTTAGGTCTTTAGCGTCTGTAAACAATTTTTTACGAAGTCGACTTGCTTGTTCGAAAAAATCTTCGTTAATGAAAAGATGATCATTCCAAAGTTTCATTTGATATATTTGTCGAGGATGTCTTATAATTAAGGAGTTTTACAACGATTGTTCTGAGTTTTTTATTATTTTCACTTTCATCTTTTTTTCCAACTCGACGAGCCAGTTCAATGACAAAATTGTCTTTAATTTCAAGTTTTGTTAATAGTAATTCTTTAACTTTATTTTTGCAATCATTCCAATTTTTATTATCAGATTCATCAATCCCGTTAATTCTCAAATTATTCTGCAAATTATTCTGCCTGCTTCTGTCTTCAAGTTCTGCTATTTTATCTGCCATGGTTTCTGTTATATTGTATTCAAGAAT